CATGTTCTACAATGAAATCTCATTTAATTCTCACCCTTACACCTTAAGCACTCAGCTGAAGATTTTTATTTATATAATAAATGTTTGCATTTATGTTCACCATGACAGTCTGAGTTTTTTTCAGCTATTCATTCAGGTTGACTTGAAATACATCTAGATCTTTTGTGGATGAAGTAATTGCACTGACATAAAGTAAAATCTTCAATAAAGAGACTGTTTAGACTTGTGTATGTGACCTATTCACTGAATTCTCCTGGAAGGCTTTATGCCAGCAAGAACAATTTTTTTCTCCCTACAGATTAAATCAAATATATATTGCCAACACACAGACACACTGAGCCACCATCCAGTAGGTTGACTCACTTGAATTTATAGCTATGATAAAGTCATTTGGAAAAACAAACTCAAGCTGTGAACCAGTGAGAACTAATCCCGAATTCAAAATCCAGTCCCTGAATGGGGCTGCGCCACTGTGGCCGTGACCATTTGATCATGTAAATGTTCCCCTCAAGGCTCTGGGTGACAAGCCTGATGGCAAGGAAGGGAGAATGCTGGGCCTACAACACTGCTCACCAAATGTGCTGACTAAAGAGAACAAGCAATTCCGTCTGGGACCCAGAGCCTCTGGCAGCTTCTCAGGGTAGCTTCTGCCTTTGGTGGCAAAACAAAGTTTGGGCTTTTTTTTTTTTTTCATTGTTTTTTGAAAGGAGATGAGTATAATCATTTTTTAACATTGGCTCCTTTGTGTTACAGGCAGTCTGTTAGCACACATTTTCAGATTTACTTCAGAAAAGAAACGAAATAGAAGTGTGGATGCATGTTAATTACCCAAAAACATGGTGTACCAGATGGCCACCAAGGTCTGCTCCAGTCTAGTAGGTAAATAATGCTTCCCAATCCCTTTGTCCCTCTGAAAACCAAATTTTTGAATTATTTTCCTTTCTATTTCCTTTCCTTTCCTTTCTATTCCTAAATGCAGGAAGTAACCAAGGGCAATAGAATGCCACATTTATGAGTGGACCGTAGGGGGTGAAGGTAAACATTTTTTTCTTTTTCCTTTTGCTAAATTAGGCAGAATTACTGGGTCCGGAAGAAGTCAAGAAAAATGCTTATAATGCCCCAAATCATAGAATGAGGACTTCTTCAGTCAAAGCACAAACACTAGAGACAACAAGTTTGTTTTTCAAAGCACGCATAATGTTTCAGACCTTGCCTACCTTATTGATACAGGTATAATGATTTTGACATCAAGATTCCCCTCACTAGGCTGTGTAATGAGCCCTCTTGTATTACTTAGGGGAGATTTTTAAATTAACTAGGTCAGTATATACAGTCACAGTCCATTCTAAGAAAAACAAAACTTGAACTTTTAAAATGTCTTTCTCCTGAGTTGGGTATACACAATAAATTCTGCATGACATTTCAAATACTATATTTCACCTCAGTGTGCTCCATGGCTGAAAGCATTAACTTCCATAATATGTCTGTAACTTAAGGGGCAGGGCGGTACATTTGAGATATTGGATTTTGGTCCCTCCCTCTCCTGTGGTCCCCTTCCTTTTTCCTTCACCAAGTAGGTAACTGGCTATGTATCCAGGGCTATAAACGATGGATATGCCAGGTGGAAAAGCAGAAATCATCTGCAAGAGAACTTAGTGGCTCAGGGTATAGACCAAATAGCTGGTAGAAGCTGGGAAGAAAGCTTCCCCACTCTGGGGAAGAAGTCCCACAGCCTGGCACACATGCAATCGGGGGAGACATCGTACAAGATGACACCAAATACAGAACCATGACCTCCCAGTGGGACTAACGATGATGGAGGATCAGGGCCAAGCCAGAGCACAGACAATGCAGCCACTTCCTGCACACTGAAGGCCAAATGCCCCTTCAGAACAAACTTTGACATCTTGTCTGATTCCTACATTTACATAAAACCCCGGGGAAAGGAGTGGGTAGAGGGGGAGGAGAGATCTTCAAATTGATGGAGGTTATTTCTACCCTCCCTGGCAGAATAAGGTCTCAAAATAAAAATCAGATTGAGTTTGAAAAAAATTAAAAATTCATTTTGCAGAAGTGAGTTTGCTGATTGAGGGTTATGCCTGTAACTTTTATAAAGACAATCTTGAAGTTTGGGAGTAGGCAAGGAAGGAAAACAGAACATTTCCTAAATGAATTTGGGACAGATGAAGATGAACAGATTAACAATTCTACAGAGGGAATTCTCACGTTTAAGAGTACCAGCCATGTTATATAGGACAGTTTCCTGTATGCCAAGAGCTTTCCCTTCATTAACCTATCCACTCCTCCTAAAGCCTTATGAGGGTGGCAGGACTATTATCTCCAATTCACAGATTAGAAAAAGTAATGTTTATAGAAGTAAATGACCTGCTTTGGATTCAGAACTGGGCTCGGAGGAAGTTCAAGGTGCCAAACACAGTCCGTCAACCTTGGTGCTCTCACTCGGAATGTGCAGAACTGATACAAAGTAGAAGGGGTGATTAAAGCACCCCCCTCTTACTTCCTCACCTGCCTTGGCACAGAATCCAAGCACAATTAAGAGCTAGGACCCTAGCCCTCCAGGATGCCATCTGAAACTACAAGTTCATCACGACCCATTTACTACTCTCTCCATGGTATGCTTACAGCTAATTACTTTATTTCCCAATAAAACTGCCATCTTTCAGGGCCTTAAAGTAAAATGCTATGCAAGTGAAAAACAGGGCATATAATTAAACCCATCTCTCCCTTTGGAAATTTTCCACTTATCTGAAATGAAGCAGTTTTCATAAATATATTATATAAAAAAGACTCATCTCTCTTTCTTTTTTAAAGATTTTATTTATTTATTTTAGAGAGAGAGCACATGAGTGGGGAGACAGGCAGAGGGAGAAAGAAAGACTCTCAAGCAGACTCTGCACTGAGTGCAGAGCCTGACATGGGGCTCAATCTCATGATGCTGAGATCATGAGCTGAGCTGAAATCAAGAGTTGGACGCTCAACCAACTGAGCCACCAATGCTCCCCAAGACTCATCTCTTTTTTATGAGGTCAGACAATCACCACTTTCTCCAAATATAAAGTAAAAAGTGCCAGTTTTTATAAAAAAAATAAAATTGGGATGAGGGATGGGTGTCTATGGAATTATAATTCAAGAAATTCTTTTTTATTTTATTATGTTACGTTAGTCACCATGCAATACATCATTAGTTTTTGATGTAGTGATCCACATTGTTTTCGTATAACACCCAGTGCTCCATGCAGTACGTGCCCTCCTTAAAATAATTTTTCTTGAAAAAAATTAAAGGTTATACATTGGCCAGAACTCTGAGTGAAGAGAATGAAATTTCCTTTCCTTGTACTTTTTTGTTTTCTTCTCTGACATCCGTGATATTTTTAAATTTTATATAAATTGACTAAGTTTTAAGTAGCACCTCCCTGAAAACGGAGAATCTCATAAGAAGTAATAGATTCAACTTCCAAGTGACCAAATGACTGGTTCTGTTTCCAGGACAGAAGCCAAGATTTGATTTAAAATAAAGAACCAGATAGTTTCTCAACAAAGATTATGCCTGATTATCCAAAGAGCCTGCTCAAGTCTCCAGTTTAGTTTACCCAAAGCACACTTTGTAGTTCTCCACGTATTATAGCTTGCAACAACATGCCATATCACTTGTGTGTTCTTTCAAATGTAACCACACCTTGCCCACCTGGGCAGAGTTTTCTCCCTGCTTTATTGGCTGCCCCATTCTAAGGTTCCTTTGCTGACTCATTCTCCTCTACTTGATCTTCAGCAGTTGGCATTCCTCAAAGTTCAAACTTTGGCCCTTCCTTTACTCAACATTCTCTCTCTAGATGATTTCCTCAACTCCCCATGGCTCTCATTACTATCAGAACATCCAGGATTACTAAAGGTATACCTCTAGACCAGACCTGTCTCTGACCTCTAGGTCTCTATGTCTACAGATACCTAACATTCATGGACTGTTCACCAAATGTTATGCCAAGTGCTGTACATGCATATTTTTTATTTAGTCTTTGATACATTGTCATATTTTACTATTTGCTTTGTTTCTAAGTATACATATAACATATATATTCTTATAAAACTTTAAGTGATAAAAAAAGATGAGTCATCTCAGCCCACCTAGAGCTTCCCTTCCTACACCACCTCATCTCACACCCACAAACCCCAGTATCTACTGTTACTGTGATGCGTATTCTCACTTGATCTTCACAACAACTTGGTGGAGGCAGTGTTACTGTTATCTTCATTTTACAGATGAAGAAAGTGATGCTTAACAAGACTTAAAAACATGCCCAAGGTCTCTTGGAGTAAGTGACAGAAGAGGGATTACAAATTCAGGTTCGTGTCATTCAGCACCTCCTTTTTCATTTTTACTTTGCTGCTTCACCTGTGTGTCCCTCAGAGGGCATCCCAAGTTCAACTGTCCAAACTTGAACTCAGTTTTCCTGCCTCATACCCACTCATCAAACCTGGTCCTTCTCATGGGTCTTAATGTCAGTAAAGGACACAACCAAATACCCATGTGTTCATTGAGAAACTTGGGGTTATCCTTATATCCCTTCCTCCTTCATAATTCACATCTAATTGGTCACCAAAACTTGCTCATGTGGTTCTTAAATCTCTCTTGGATCTGTGAGATTCTCTGTATCACTACCTCTGCATCTAGACTTGCTACCTTCCAAATCAACCTACACACAATCACCAAATGGACCTTTGTAGAATGCTCACATTGAAGCATGTCCCTCACCTCTTTAAAGTCTTTGGTTTTCCCATTTTCTTAGAATCAAGTGAAATATCATTAGTATGGCTTCCAAGGCTCTCTTCAGTCCAACCCCTGCCCATATCCCTGCCTCCTATCCTAGGTCTCTATATTCCAGGCACACTGGTCTTCTCTTAGTTCCCCAAACAAGTCACTCCCCTTTAAGCCTCAGAGCCTTCACTCATGCTCTTCCCTCTACTGGGAGTTCTTTTCCCCTCCTTCTTAACCCACAGTATTCTGTTCAGTATGCAAGCCTCCAGTTGCCCAGAAGAGCCTTTGCTGCCCCTTTATCTATTTCTTGTTCCACTTTTCTATGTTCTCTTACCACTTGTTACTTTGCATCTATTGCTTCCATCACTAAATAATTAATCTACTAGTTTATACATGTTTTCCCTACTAGACAATGAGTTCCAAGAGGATTAAGAACAGTGTCTCTCTCACTCATCCTGGGCTTGGAACACAGAAGGCTCACAGCAACTCATGAAATGAAATTTGGTACAACCCTCAGTGAGTAGCCTCCTTAATTGGCTCTCAAGTCTCCGTTCCTGGAAAACTGGGATGGCGGCACAAGCTTAGAGTCACATTACCTCTTTCAGGCAAGCTGGGTTCATGGCCAGCAGGGTGACTTCTGGTAAGAGTATTCAGAGACAGTTTAAATAGTTCAAGGAGTTAAGAATGTTGTCCAGTGGAAGTCCCTAGGGAGCAGAAATAGGGTACTTTAAATCTTGGCCTTCTCCCTTCCCTCTCCTCTCAACCCAAGAGTCATCAGAAGAAGGCTAAACATTACAAAGCAAGATTACTGGAAAATCTTTTGCAAACTTGCTTCTCTGTATATTTCCAAACAGTACTACTTTAATTGATTCAAGTTTGCGGGACTGGATTCTAATTTCAAGACAACTCCCCAAACAATTCACCACAGAACAGAACATTAGAATTATGGTAGGTATAATTAAAATGCCATTGCATTCTAATATTGTCTCTTCATCCGTTGCTCCCACCCACAGTTGGTTTTGCATACCAACAAAGAAACAGCTGTATGATCAGCAGGCTTCCATCTGTGAGCTTCCATCTGCGGTCTCTTTAGCACTTGCACCAGGCAGATCTGGAAAAGCAAAACATGTTCTAGTCTTGATTTTACTATTTTCCACTATTTCACATGTGCAAAAAAAAAAAAAAGCTGAAAGATCCTTTGGGGCTTTCCCTAAAATTAGCACTTCTAAGAAGTTCAATGGTAATTAATGACATTCCTTTGGCCTTTCTGAGTAACCCTATTGTCAAGAGTAGAGGAGCAGTTGAGGAGGGATGAAGGACAGAAGGACAATCCTTATCCCATTACCTGGTAATGAACTGCCAATGTTCGGGGAAATGTCATTGTTATGACCGTGCCTCATTCAACATAGAAAGAAATAGAATCTGAAAAAATAAAAGTGATGAGGCACCTAGTACTTCAGAACAGTTGCCAACTTCTTTATTCCCAGTCCTTCCTTCATTCCCCAGCATCAGATTCCTATCAAATCTTCATCAAGCAGGTTCACTTTTCACTTGTCATATCAGCAGACTTTAAAGCCTGGAGGATAGGAGATATCCAGGAAGTCTTAGTGTTCTCTGATCCCTCGGCTATTCCCCTACTCATCCTTCAGTTCTCAGTTCAAATCACCTCTCCAGAAAGTTCCCTGATTTCTCCAGGAATAGTAAAGTACTTAAATGGCCATTCTATTTTTCTCTTATTGTTGCATGTTTGTATCAATTATACCCCTGGTTACAATGCTGTAACTTTTATTTATTTGTCTAGATCCTTAATTCACTGATTCTAATGTTTCCTGCTTTTATGTCTCTAGAGTCTAAAACGTGAATGAATGAATGAATGAATGAATGAATGAATGAATGAATTTCTTGATTTTTATAAATTTCTCAATAGTACAGCAAAAAGCACCCAACAAGCAAAAACTCTATGAAGTACAGTATACCTAGCCATTGTCCAGTGTACTCTCTATAATCCATGGATAGGAGGCAGGTTTGTTTTGAAGAAAGCAAATAAAAGGACAAACTCAAATTCTTAGCTTAACCCCTCATTTTGATCTTCTCTCTGATCTTATCTTGGCCACTTTAAAAGATAAATAAGAAACCAGCTATAATTACGTAACTCTGACAGCTTAGCTTACTTTATCTTGCCAAGCTTCAATTTCCTCCACTAAGGTCTGTAGGGTAGGTGTGAGGAGTTCATGGTGGTGACGCATGAGGCACATCAGGGCCCCCACCATAGCACCTGACACACGGTGAGTGGCAAGTAGATTCTTAACTGGCAATTTTGTGGATGTCAGGAACTTAGCATTGCATCTTGATTTTCCTCTATACTCCCCATATTCTTGCTCTTACAAAGCTATTAGCCATAAAGGAAGGATCAAAAGACAGGAAATGAGAGGGGAAATGTAAAATAAAAATGGCCTAAAACCCAGAAAATCCATCTTTGAAGAGTAACAATATAGTTTATTTATATCAGATCCACATGCAATCTATCTCAAGGAATATTCACTACCCACGTGTCACTTCTTCTTTGATAATTAATGGTTTGGCATATCTTTTGGCTCAAAAGACTTATCACCCTCTAATGCAAGGGATGTGTTTACTGGGACAGCTGCCACGAAAGCAACTCTGCAGATAAACTTCGTTTAACTAGCTGCTTTCAGACATGAGGACACTGTCTTATATATATAGAAAAGGCATACATAACATATCATATATATCACATATATATATATCAAAGGCACTGAAGCCCTGGTTTCATAACTATAGTACTCTAGTTAAAATTAATAGACAAAAGACCATAATATATCAAAGGGTAACCACATTTAGATCTGCTTGTCTATCAGTGACTCCAAATGGTCCTCTTTTTTTTCCCTTTGCCTTATAATAAAAAATAATACACTAGATATCAAAGGCCAAATTTTGAACTTAAAAAACAAAACAAAGTTATTCCTAATATTTTCATCATGTATATCAGGATCTCTCTCTCATTTGCCACCCAAGGAAACACAATCAGTCAATCAACAAACATATTGAGGACCTGGAAGATACCAGTTTCTCTGCAGTTATTTGAAGATTCTTAGGTAAACAAAACACAGTCCCTGCTTTCAAGAAATTTATGTTCTAGTGGACAAGAAAGACTAATAAACTAAAATTTTCATACTTTGTAACAAGTAACATTATAAAGTTAATGATATGGCACAGAGCCCAGGAGGGACAGAGAATTGGAAAAGGCTTCCTGAAAGAAGTGGCATAAGCTGAATTGTAAACCAAGAACAGGAAACATTAGTCACAGAAGAAGGAAAAGGGGCAACCAGGGGGAGGGACTGTTTGTGCAAAGGTGTGAATGACAATAGTATAACTTGTCCAGTGGGCTACAAACAGATCACTAGGGTGCCAACTGGGGTAATCTAGAGACCATGGAGAGAAGACAGGGCTTGGAAAAGAGCTTAAGATCTCAAAGGGCCTTGCATGTAAGGAACTTAAACATTTTCATGAAAGCTACTGACAGCCATTTATGAATAAATAAGAAAGTGACATAAGCAGATCTGCATCACAATAGATCACTCCAGCTGACTTGTAGAGAATGGATCATATGCAGAGATCTATCAAACTCGGTCACCCATGGTAAATGCTCTTATGTAACAATCTAGCACACTTAAACACAGAAAAAGAACTAAAGAATAGCTTCACAAAACAGAGTTGGACAGCCTGTGATGCACTCATATTTTCTATTCTGGTTCAAGGTTTAAAATTCTGGCCTTGGCCTACTAAACTGATTTCACAACGCTCTAATGGGATGCGGCTCACGGTTTGAAGAACCACTGATAAGAAGAAACAGATTACATACAGTCAGGAAGATCAGACAGGAGCTTACTGTAGTAATTCAAGTAGTAAGAGCGGCAAACTCGACTAAGGCAACACAATGAAAAGGAGCCGGTAACTTCTGCCTTATTAATAAAGCTCTACTGATTTCCCTTGCTATAACCTAGTTAAATAAACTTGGCAGTGTCAGTGCACCTCTGGGATAATCATCATCTGAGTCCCTGCCATGCTTCACACTGTGCCAAGGGCTTCACATGTATATTAACTCTAATTCTGATTGCCACACTGGAGCGTAGATACTGTTCTCTCCATTTTACAGAGAGGAACACCAAAAGCCCAGGGAAATTAAATAGCTCTGCCAAAGTCACATCGATAGACATCAGCAGATTCGTATACAGCCAATCTTTTAGTGCTAGTTAATTCATACTAACTACAACAGTCTAATGAATGAAAATATTTCACTACCTCTTGATGACTATTTAGCTTATTTCCAGCTTTTTGCTATTGCAAACAACAGTATCATAGGCAGTTTGGGTCTATGTTCCTGTAGAGTAGAATTCCCGGATCATAAGGTAGGATTATGTTATAGATATATTATATTCTTATTAGGAAGTATCCATCAATTCCTTTTTATTGAGTGTAATAAACATCAATAGTTGGATTTTTCCCTAGGCCTCTTCTGCATCTATGGAGATGATCATATGATCTTGTAATGCAGTGCTATTTGTATGATACTTTTAAGGTTTTTTTCTAACATTAAATCATCTTTGCATAACCCTACTTGTTCATATTTCTATTTTAATGTAGCAATGGAGTCTAAAAACCCTTGATAAGAAGAAACCAGTGGGAGTCAGGAAGATCAGACAGAAGGTTACTGTAGTAATTCAAGCAGTAAGACACGTGGACTCCACTAAGGCAACATAATAAAAAGGATCTGGTAACATAATGACAAGTATTAATATACTAATATCCATTTAGTTGAGACCCCTGCATCAACATTCATAAGATTAGTCTGTTGTTTCTTCTCTGGTATAATCTTGTATTAGTTTTTAAAACATGGTATCTATTTCATAAAAATAAACTTGAATTTGTTCTTCCTTTTCAGAGTAAAAACTCAAATAATTAAGTAGCATTATAGTCATGTCATCATAAAAGTCTCAGTTGAATTCTCCAATGAAACCATTGGAAGATGGTGTCTTTTGTGGGGGTGGACTTAGCCACTTTCTCTAGTTAATTTGTCTGTGTAGACTCTTCTTGAGTCAATTTTGGTACTTTTCATTTATTCTAAAAATTAATCCACTTAGTTTAGATATTCAGAGTATTTCCACAAAGTTGTGTAGTCTCTTAAAATATTTAAAAATTTTCTTTTTTCGGGGTGCCTGGGTGGCTCAGTCGGTTAAGGCGTCTGCCTTCGGCTCAGGTCATGATCCCAGGGTCCTGGGATGGAGCCCCACATTGGGCTCCCTGCTCAATGGGGGGCCTGCTTCTCCCTCTCCCTCTGTCTGCCGCTCTGCCTACTTGTGCTCGCTCTCTCTCACTCTCTAATAAATAAATCTTAAGAAAAAAAAAAAAAAGGAAAACTATCAGGGTATAGGCATCCCTTTTTTGGGTCATAGGGTAGCTCTATTTTTAACTGTTTGAGGAACCTCCATGCTGTTTTTCAGAGTGGCTGCACTGGTTTGCATTCCCACCAATAGTGTAGGAGGGTTCCCTTTTCTCCACCTCCTTGCCCATACCTGTTGTTTCCTGTTGTTAATTTTAGCCATTCTGACAGGTGTGAGGTGATATCTCATTGTAGTTTGGATTTGTATTTTCCTGATGAGGAGTGATGTTGAACATCTTTGCATGTGGCTGTTGACCATCTGTGTGTCTTCTTTGGAAAAATGTCTATTCATGCCTTCTGCATGGTTTTTTTAACTGGATTGTTTCTTTTTTGGGGAGTTGAGTTCGATAAATTCTTTATATATTTTGGATATTAACCCTTTATCAGATATGTCATTTCAGAGTATCTTCTCCCATCGCTTCTCGGCCTTTTGGCTAAGATCAAGTGTAGAATATCTTTTCCCATTCCAAAGGTTGTCTGTTAGTTTTGTTGATTGTTTCCTTCCCTGTGCAGAAGTTTTTTTTATCTTGATGAAGGCCCAATGTTTATTTTTGCTTTTGTTTCCCTTGCCTCTTTCAAAGTGTCTAGTAAGAAGGTACTACAGCCAATGTCAAAGAGGTTGCTGCCTGTGTTCTTCTCTAGGACTTTGA